TCATCATCGTCGTCATCATCATCATCGTCATCATCACCACCATCATCATCAATCGTCATCATCTTCGTCGTCGTCATCATCATCATCATCATCAACATCATCATCAATACATGTTAGCTGAGGGTGAGAAACACACCTCAGCCAATGTGTCACAATACAAAAGATAAGATACTGAAAAAGTGCACTACAAAAATGATTCCAAAGCAAGTAATATGATGTTAAATATTATCTTATGCGCTTCGTATGAGATCGGAATTGGAAAGCTAATCTAAAGGGAAGGGGATGGACAAAGAAATTCATAACACAAACGTCATCGGGGTCGGCTCCTAGCCATATCAGCATGTGTGTCCAACCAAACGTGTTCGTCGTCCTTAGTATCTCAGCCAGATAGTCAGGATGTACCAACCGACAACTGTTTCGAAGTGAGGGTTTTCATTTCTCTCGACTAAGTCATCGTTTGACCTTCCATCCCTTTCTTCCAACCGCAACCCCGGCGCGCAAATTATGCAAGTTGCGGGAGTCGGTTTGCGGACATGCGCAACATGTGGCTCATCCATCGGAGCCTGGTGGGTGATATAATGGCGCTGAGCGGTTCACTTGCTCTTCGGGAACCAAATATGCGACGCAGAACACGCTGACTGCTCACGCTGTGCTCCCATCAGACATGAGCTAAGCTGCGAAGGCAGCGATGATCGAACGCATACTACAAAGCTAGGAAAGGAGAGATATTATTGTGGAGTAAAGGCTATTCGTCGCCCGGCATACGTACTCCTCAGGTTTAGATGAGTGACTTTTAGGTAGCGAGCCAACACAAGGCAAACACTCGCAACAGGTGCGTACACTATCCGGGTGCAAGTAACATACACAATCTTTCGGCCCTCTCGCACCCTCGATGTGCGGACGCTACGCATACCCACTTTGTAGAGAACAGAATGCGGTGCAAACGAGTTGTGTATCAAAGAAACCAAGCCGATATAAGAAAAGAGAACATGGAAGATCGGGTTCTTTTGCGCACTTTCTTCGTGGTGGCTTCCTGGCTCCTCGTTTCGCTGCGCACCTTCATACGCAACGTATCAGTGGTCGTTGCTTTGTGCACTACTCGTTCTTCGTCCGCAGCGATTCATGATTTCTCTGAGTTCCTCACGTCTGCTCGGTTGTATACACACTACTCAGTAGTGGTGCACCACAACTTGACCATAGTGGATACAACCGACTTATCGATCGGACGAGCAGTGAGAAAGTTTTCGTCCGCATGCCCACTTGTGCACAACCTTCGAGTTCATGCTGCGTGCTGCTGGGGCACTAACGAAAACGCTTGTGATCATTGGCAACAAAAACGAGCTCAGCGGCATTAAAGGGACCGTCTTTTGCAGGAATCTGCAGTACACTAGTGCTGTATAGCGATGCTTCGCTGTCATGCGACTGGACGCGGCCGTATGTGGGTTGAGGCCCAGTCAGGTTTCTCAAGCCTAGGCAGGAAAATGGACTCTCGCAGGCACGCTACGAGCAATGTCTGTACTGATGCAATACTCTCACAGAAAACGACTGGTGTAACTAACGCAGTGTACGTCGAAAGAGAAAGAGACATGTTTTGTGTGAAATGACCATACACTGTAGCCGAATGAAGAACCGCTTTTTATTCTTCATGCGTGTGCATGGAGGCCAATCATCTGATTTATCTGGAGAGAATACACCCACAAACACGTTTTGAAGATATGCATTGGAGAAATGTTGAATGCTTGTCAGATTGGCTTTGATACGACTTGCAAACCCTTTCATGATTATATTCGATCGACTAGTCGTTAACCAACAATGTTATTCCTCTGGTACATTGACCGTCATCATGTTATTTTTCCCCATTAGTTAGGCCGGCCGCTAGACGCTTTGTAAAAGTAGCAACAAAGTGCGAGATCGCCATCGTACGTTGCGATGATAGCTGTATCCCTTCATCACCGTTTCTGGTTTTCTCTTAAAGGTTTTCTTTTCAAAAAACCCTCGATTCTGTCGAATTATGTGATTTTCTACGTCTTTCCTTTTTAGGTAATGCAACTAAATCTGTTTCTAATCAATACACGCAACAAGAGTTTGGATCCGTGATCACATTTTTACTTAAAGCCACAGAACTCTATTTCACAGACATCCATGCCGAGTATCAATCGATCTCATTTCTCAGCTGGTGAAAACGTTCTCGTGCGGCTACTGAACAGAAGCAGTTCGTTCGTCAGTAAATTGAGTGCATCCTCGCTCCGAAATCATAACGAGTCCACTTGGCGATGAATGGTGATTTTTCAACCTCCTAACGAATGTCTCGGTCTTTCAAGTTGATCAGTTAAAGGATGAATTAACGAACCGAAAGAGAAGGTCTGGCTTCCCGCAGAAAAGTGAAATCAAGCAATATTAAAGTACGGTTCGCTGTCAGACAATATTTAACGTAGGCCATGTCCAGTAAACAGACTTGGGGACTGTTATGTTCATTCAAGACAACGAATTCGTAGTAGCCACTAAAGCGAACTACAACAGTTGAACACACCTTCTTGTACTTGTACTAAGTACTATAAAAAGTGATGAAGCATTTAGTCCGCATATATCACATTTAACAAGCCAACAAGTCAAACAATTGGACATTTCTTAAGCTCCTAAGTCCGGGCTAAATTATCAGTTCACTGGCAGTCACACAGTTATAAATTCCAGAACATGCAACGTCTATAAGCTGGGATATGGAAATTTGAACTACCAATGGAATGAGCGGTCATCGTCTTTGGGCCGCCGATCATGAAGCCTAGAGTGGGAAAACGGTGTCAACTTTGAGGAAAACACTTTCGTCTCCAAATACTTCCTTCAATAGCACAGAAAGTAGCAGTTCGAAGATAGATTCTTATTCCCCACAGAACAGCTGCTGCAAAGTAGCGTCAGTAGAGAAATAAAGATGTGGACGAAAGCGTGGGGTTTCTCTCTCCGATTGGCGATTTCGTAGTTAGTCTTTTCCAAACTGGGTAACTGTTCTCCATGTGCATTAAGTGTCATAAAAGGTCGCCCAAAAGTACTGATCTTTGCGATCAGAGACGAAGAGAAATGCAGTGATGTAGCAGTAGTAAGGAATAGCGCTTGACTTTGTAAACCAACTCGATTAACAAGCTGTAGTTTTGAAGAGAATAGTGCATGAGTGATTGTGAAGGGCTGTTTGATTGCAGTCCAAATGCAGACTGCTCTCAATGCACTGTTACGGAGAATCTTCTGAAGTCCGTCGTTAAAGCAACGGGAAATACAGATATGTTTAGGCTAAAGTTCGTGACTGCGGACTTTTATTTTGGTGCGCATATGCTTTGGTATTCATTTTAACGCGACATTTTGGCAATTTCATTGGTAGTTGAGAATAGTTGTTTCGGGAACCAGACCACAATTCATTCTCCACTTCATGTCGACTATACCTGATTGGGGCATAAATCGGTCACTTTCTGGAGATTTTGTCTAGTTGGTCGCGTTCTGCGCACAGGTTGACATCGACAGCACTGTCTCTTTGCGTTACACCATAAAAAATCAGAGCACTGTTTAGCAACAGAAGTCTGACCCTGCTCCTTCTACAGCTTATACGACCGCTGTGGTTGACCCAACTCATGGGAATGGGGCGTACTGAGCAAGATGTGACCGAACTATGGTAGTGAGAACGACCGGAAGCCTATCAAACCATCAGTTAGGCTGAGTTTCTCCCTATGATGAACTGGTCATGCCTAGGCAGATAGCTCCGTGTCAGCAAGACACGTGTGGCTTTCCAGAGGCTCAACCATCAATGAAGACGGCGACATCAGTCTGTTAGCGTAAGGTAGCTTGTACAATGTTCCGAAAGGGTTGGTGTTACTATAAAGATAATAGACATGGCCAGTAGGCAGTGAAGACAAAATACGATTGGTCGCATTTGATCACCAATACTCGCCGAGTATTGCTCATATTCGGCGGAAACACCGGGTAAGCCAGTTAGCGTTTGGCAAAAAACGTGGTGCTTAAGCTCAACTGTTTACGCTGGTGAAGTCATGTCTTCCGTAGGCCCGTAGACCGCCTTCCTCGGCGTGCAGTGTACGCCGTGGCCGCACCAAACTGGAAGAAACCACGAGGTGGCCGGACCAGGACGTGGCATAAAGCCGTGATGAAATTGATTGAGACTTGGTCCGACTGGCGCACGTTGTCTTCGTGGAAGGAGACTCAAGGATCGGCCATGTCCATGATTGGAGGCCCTATCAGACATGGCATATTCGCGCAGTCAATGATGTTTTTCATTCGGCTTCTTGTAGCTAGCAGTTAATCTCTATTTAAATCTAGATTGCTTCGGCGCTTTTCTGTCCAGATTCCATTTGCTTTGGATTTTGTTTGTATTCAATATCATTCTCGTATCGTTATCATTTATTGGTATTCGGGCCCCGTGAGTCGTGGCAACTGGATTTTGGTGAACGGACTAGAATGGTTCAACTCGAACTGAGCTGAACTTAAGTCTGTTCACAGTTAAAGTCGATCACCAATACCAATAGCATTCCAAGTGGAAGACGGATGATGTACTATCACCGGTTAGACAAATGATGAAGAATGTGGTCACAGTCGAAAAGAAGAGACTCATTGTTAGTAAACGGTAAAGGAATTTATGGGGTTTATTGAGAAGATTCGTCACAGCTAGACTCAGGCACACAGCCACCACACAGTCAGGAAAGCACGAGACGGCCGTTTCGTCCTATAAAGTGACTTCCTTTCTGAGTCTGGTTGCGACAAATTTTCTCAAGAGGAGAATCAGCAGAGATGAATAAGTCAGCACAGCTTTAAGCCAGTCGGAAAAATCAGGTAGCAACAGCTGAAAAAGCTGGCATGGTGTCGACATAGTTCAGCAGCTAGTGGAATTCAAAGAATGTGAAAGGGACGAGTTTCACTCCACAGTGGGATTTGCGTAAACACTTACAGTCACGCAACATATTGAGGGCAGGAGAACCGTCGTTTATTAAAAAATGAATTCCACTTACTCCATGTGTCATCACCCTTGCCAGTTTTGAACCGTCTTGGATCCTGCAAAGCAAGAAGGAATTCGTGTTGCATACGTTGGATGTCCCGCAGCTGAACGACCCAAGCCTCACGATTCGCGCAAGAAACCGGATCGATCACATACACCGTGTCGCGCCCAGGTGTTTGGTCCAGTATGGCGAACCGGAAGTCGTCAGGAGCCAAACCAGTGGACAATAGTTGGTCTACAGCAACTGCGTCCGCGTTCGTGTGACCATTCTGCAGAGTACAGTTGTACCAATGCGACTGTGGGAGGAAACAATGGCAGCATGAAGTACAGCGGATAGTGCAAAAACCACCTCGTGATTACCACGATACGAATGAAGGATGGATGTCGTGCATACGCCTAGTATGCATGATACATAAATTAGGTAAACCGGAATGCTGCTGCTATGGGTACGAAAGAAATGTGGTTCAGCTACATTGCTGAAACGTGGATTCCATCTACAAGCCTACCAGTCCTATTCCTTTAGGTTTACACAGGATGCAGTGTGTGTGTGGGTTTGGGGTTGTGGGTGGTGCAGCGCAAGTTACCCATTGCCGACCTGTATGCGCGGGCATCTTGTGGCTGTCCTATGCAGGCTGCAGTGAGAGGTAAATCCGGAATCGCACACTGTCAATCGATATATATATATATATATATATATATATATATATATCCTTGGCCAAAACTGCACCCAAAAGAATATTTGCCTACTTACAACGTCAACTGAAACCGGGGGACGATGTACCGGCCTTAGAGAGCTTGAACGGACAGACACTGATTTCAAGCGCGGAGTGCGCGGAAGCCTTGGCTACGCACTTCCTCACCGTATTTTTCAGTAAACCGGCGGCTGTTTCAGTACTGGCACAGGTTGCGCCAATCCTGCTCAACAAATTACAATGTGTTACAGTCGAAGTGTATCAGCTACTCTTCAACCTGGATGGTACAAAGCCCTCCGGACCTGACGGACTTCACCTACTAATACTCAAGTCGCTGTCGATTATCATCTCATCAGCCGTGACAAACCTATTCAATAAATCACTCTGTGAAGGATCTGTCCCCAGCGACTGGAAATGCTCGATAGTGAGACCGCTTCCAAAGGGTGGTGATCCGAGTAAATCAGAGAAATATAGACCGATCTGTTTGATTTCCAGATTATCCAAAGTTCTCGAGAACGTTGTGAAAAAGTGTCTGCTGTAGTTCTTCGAATCGGTGAACGTACTGACGCCAGCGCAACACGGCTTTACGAAAGGGCGATCACCAACTTGATGTACGCAAACCATCAGTGGGTACGAGCTCTCAACGAACATGAGGATGTTGACGTGGTGTACATCGACTTTAGTGAGGCGTTTGACAGTGAATCACGAGGTACTCCTTCATAAACTGAGGAGCTACGGAATCGGTGACACTCTACTTCAGTGGTTACACGAGTTTATTGTGCGACGAAAGTTTAGAGTACAGGTCAATGATTACCTGACAGACTGGTTCCCATGGACCAGTGGCGTGCCTCAAGGAACTGTACTTGGGCCGGTATTATTTCTTATTCATATCAAAAATCTTCCGCGGTAGCTCCAGTCACCATGTGCCCTGTCTGCGGATGATTTGAAAAGGTGGGGGATCATTGAGAAGCAGCACGACTGCGCTTGCCTCCAGCATGACTTAGAGCAACTGTCAACGTGGTCCACTGAAGTGCAACTTTTTCTGAACGCAAGCAAGTCGGAGTTCATCAGTGTCACCAGACGTCCAGCCACTCGATCATACACCTTGGACGGCCAGTTGCTCCATCCCAGCACATCTGTCAGAAACTTAGTAGTTCTATCACCATGATATGAGAACACTAGAAAATACAGAGAAATTGTACCGTGCGGGACTTCGTATGCTCTGGGCATAACGATGCAGTTTCTCCCCATGGTCGAAAGAAACCGTCTCTCGCCTATTCACCTCGCTCAATAGACCAATCCTTGAATACAGTGCCCAAGCTTACTATCCGATAACCCAGTGGGAAAGCTGCAAAGTTGGAGCAAATACAGCATATAGCAACTAGAATGAGACCTAGTCTCCGAAAGCTACCGTATGAAAAACACTGTGAAAGGCTCGGACTACACACTATGCTCCCGCCGAGTAAGAATTGACCTTATTATGATCCATCAAGTACTTCACTTGAATCACTTCCCCATACGGCGGCCAATATTTCACCTGCGGGAACCCTGTAATACCCGAGGACATGGTTACAAACTCTGCGTCCCCTTGCATGAATAAGGTATCACATCAGCTTTGTATAGAACGAAGAATGGTAAACTTATGGAATGCACTGTCGCAAGGATTAATAGAGGGCGATTCCGTGAAATGTTTTAAAACACGTATGGACGATTATTTCGGAAACTTGTGTTTTTGTGAAAGGGTGTACATACAATGCCAAAAGCAGACCTCGTATACTCGGAAATTATGACACCAATACGAATTCCTAACCGACCAAGGATAAACGACTAACTGACCAATGACTACCGCTGACGATCCGCAATTAAATGTTGTCCATTTTTCATAATTCGATAGCGTTGTACAGAAACATTTCTACTTGCTCTTATATATATATATATATATATATCCCATGCTGGGGCTGATGTTCCATTCTTGATGCTTCTTCACCGCAGTTGGGCTAAACCAACTTACACTCAAATTAGGTCTTTTTAAGCTGGCTAAAGTTCATTCCACTTTATTTGGTTTGTTCTACCTACCTGAATAGTCTTCTGTTAACTGGCCACTTTGCTTACGCTAATTACGCTTCTCTTCGGTAACTTTGTTGTGATTGTAGCATTTTTAAATAACTTGTGGACACATTTCATTTATCGCGGGTTCATTGCTAAGCAACTTATTTCATATGCTAATTTAGCGAAGAGTTATGTCACCGTATCTGTATGCATTATTAGATTTGTTTTATTTCATCTTGCCGTTTCAAGTGATTGGCCGTTGCTTGATATCCCCGGTGTGGCCGCGCTTGATGTGCATGTTGACAAGGTGCCTACCTGTCTATTACCCACTACCTCGTCCATACTGGCTCCAAGAGACAGTTGGTCGTTGCTGGAGCGGACCGGGTGCACGGTCCTCGTGGCTGTGCTAGGCTCGAAGAGTGGTTCTATGCACTCAGTGTGGAGCGGACTACGGTCCAGCCACCGCCTTGTGTGCGATTGATTCCCAAATACACGTGCTTGTGTTTGCCTGTGAAGGAGTGTGAGCCGGCTCCGTTGATGAAACGTGGCTCCCATCCACATGCCTCCCGGTCTTATTCCTTCGGGTTTACACTGGATATGGGGTGTGTGGTTGGAGCTGTGGGTGGTGCAGCATAAGCCAGCCATGGTCCCTCCCTCTGTAGGCGCAGGTATACTGTGGCTGGCCATATTGACAGGTACATCCGAAACCGGATGCCGGCAACCATATATATATATATATATATATATATATATATATATATATATATATATACATATATATATGTATATATGTATATATATATATTGTACCAAACATAATTGGACTGAATTCGTACTTAAAAGAAAAAAGTATAAGTTGAGCTGCAGAGCCTAAGGAAGAAGACAAGAAAAATAAAGGGACATCAACCCGCAGATGAGATCTTCACAAGATTAACCTACTGGCTAGCTCTGAAAGTGCTCTAAACCATGCTGTCGTTGGGTCACCGGTAGGTTGTCGGCAGCGTCCAGTTGCAGCCACCTTTGAAGACACTGTGATCACGGACTGAGCTCGACGAATGCATTAGACCCTGTAGTTTCCAGCTAACATGGGCGATCGCAACAGAGTAAGAAAAAGTAAGTACTGTACACATATATAAAGTGCCTAGACCGCCGAAGCATGGGTCGTGAAAACTTGGCGCTCAGGGGTTAGTAGTCTGTTCAACAGGACAGCTTCTGGACGGACATAGTTGTTACGATTGTGACATTGCCATCGCACATACAGTGTTTCGAGGGCAAAGGTGAACAAGATGGTACATAAGTATCCACCAAGCGAACATGCCAGATATGGCAAATATAAAGTGAGAATGCTTGCACTGTTGCATCGTCTACTTGGCCTGTTAGAGAAACGCTGAAGTCACATCGACATCGGGAATTTTAGCTGATAAGCTATCAAAGCTAACGAGGCTACCAAATTAGGTGAAAAACCCGATCAGTTCCAAAGGGTAGTTTCAAGGAGAATAATTAAGAGAAAATTCTGAACGGTATAGCAGCGTGGCGTCAGTAGAACACCGGTACGCAGTACCGACGCTTCGCTGCCGCGCCATCACCACCGGTCGGACGTGTGCTTGGGATACTGCGAGAGTTGACCGGTCTCTACGCAAACTCGAACCCGAGCCCTCGGATTACGAACCAGGCTAGTAATTCTTAAGGTTACGCGCCGGCAATTGAGAAGACATCGGAGAAGACAAGGTGAACTAGATTTGGGGCATTTTGCAGCGAGCGGCGATAGAGTCACAAAAGCAAGGTCACTGAGGACTATAAGGAGCGGCACAACGTACGTTATGCTTGGAAAAGCGGAGAGAAAAGCACGAGGAAAGGGAGGATGTGATAGGAGCACTGTGCTTGATGCAGCAGGTAGGCAGGCAGATCAGCCAGACCTACGAGTCAGCCGTTCAGACACTAGTCGACCGGCCCAAGTTATTGGCCGCACTAAGCCCTGTTTATTAGATGGCGGTCGCCGATGGTTACTTGACTGGATTAAAGGGAACACAATTTTGGGAGAATTGAGTCACTAGTAAAGTCAATGGCCGGACAATAATTACATTTGTTATATCGTGCATTTCGCAGGAAAACGAGACGTCATATGTATGGAAGCGCTGTTCGAACGCTCAACGCTGTATCCTTCCGCTGCTTGACTTGCACAAACAAACCGTTTGTCCCTGAAACATGAAGTTTTACGACACGGCTGCGGTGTGCTTCGTGTTTCTAAAAAGAAAACTCGCGTCAAAATCCAGTCCCAGAGCAGGAGGGGCGACATCAAGGCCCCATGCAAGCTCAGATGACTCGGTAGATGAGTCGGATGAAACGGTCCAAGAAATACCCCACCAATCGGTCTAGACGATTAAGAGTTAACCAACTGTCCGATGCTCAGATATTATCCAACCAACCAATTGAGTGTGCGCCGAACAAGCTGAAATTGAGATGGGCTTTTTCTAATTGCAAAGGTGCACTTCACTTCAAGGGCACTCGATAACTCATACACCATTCCTATGGAAATCGATCCAACAATTACTACT